CTTGACCTTTTAAGCCAACCTTAAGGAACCAAGTGTTCCGATTTCAATCCAAACTCCTCAAAATTCCGAACTAACCTCCCCGCAAGTCATAAATCAGTAAAACCAAGTACGGGAAGTCTTGTTTAGGGGAACGGGTTCTAGATAGCAAAACGACCATGGTTAATCCCAACTCTTCTCACATCAGTGTAAAAAATTCTTGAAGTAATTACCAGGGCGTCGTTGTGCGGCATGGTGAATCCGTCTGCATCTTCATCATCGAATGTGATTCTATCTCCAATTAGCATTTTTCGAGTGTGATTCTCGTGAGAAATAGACATTTTTGTGAATTCCTTGTTGCCATGAAGGTGACTTCGTTTACCTTTCCCCTCCAAATATAACGTTGACGATCCTCTTAGGAGTCGGAACTTTTGGTGGCTCCTCCTTGTTCCGACTTTTCATGTAGGACAACTTCGCCCTTTCACTGAAGAATTCTGTTAAGTATCCCTCCTGTGAGCAAGTGATCGACTTCTCCTCCGAGGAGTCTGCAATGCGAAGTCTTGTGGTCGTGATCATTATGAAATTCGCACTAGAATTACTCGCTTCCCTTGCTCGGGCCAGACTTCATCTCTTTTGACCACCTTACTTTGTCCCCTGTATCTTTAAGCGATGCTCCCAACTCCGTCATGTTCACGCCGAAGCCATAGTCGACAAGTTTCGGCCTGGAGTAATGGTCGCTGATTCTTGGTGCCTCTGCTTCTTTTGTAGGCTGGTGCACTAGCGATTTGTTTCTTCGGCCGGGGTTCCTATCATCACGTACGTGCCTTGGTCGTTGGTCAATCTCGCGTTGTATGGTTCCTTTTTCTCCTTTCTTAATTTTTTCTTATCTAAACAGAAAATGAAATACCTGATAGCTATGAAATATGAAAACAATTAAATATCTTTCTTATGCTAACCAAATAAATAAAAATAGAAGTTACTCAATGCATGTTTTATCTGTCAAAACTTAAGATTTCTAAATGGTACAAAATTTAAAAAACGTATTTTTCTATTTCTTTATTTCTATTGTAATGAAATAAGAATGACCAAATTGTTATAAAATAAAGACTGTAAAGTAAAGACAAGTATAGAGAGAAACTGATATATTATTCGAATTCAAACTGATGTACATAATGAACTGAAATCTCTTCTATTTATAGAAGAAAGGAAGCTGCTGTGTAAGCTACTGTGTAAGCTGCTACTGCAAGCTACTGTGTAAGCTGCTGTGTAAGCTGTTGTGTAAGCTGCTACTATACCAGATATGGATAATCTTCTACTGAGAGTAATGTTTATCCATTACGGAGTACTGAAAGGATAAGTTCATTGTACCAGGTATAGATAATCTTCTACCGGGGGTAATGTTTATCCATAGCGGCGTACTGAAAGAATAAACTCATTGTACCCGGTATGGATAATCTTCTACCGGGAGTAATGTTTATCCATAACGGAGTATCGAAAGGATAAGCTTATTATACCCGGTATGAATAATCTTCTACTGGGGGTAATGTTTATCCATAACGGAGTATCGAAAAATAAGCTTATTATACCCGATATAGATAATCTTCTACCGGGGGTAATATTTATTCATAACCGGGTACCGAAGTGATAAGCTTCTTCAGGAGGCTTATTTCCAATAGAATACTAAATAGATAAACATAATTACGGCGGAGTCCCATATGGATAAGCTTCTTCAAGAAGCTTATTTACAACGGAGTACTAAATAAAAATCCATAATATAATATATTTATAACACTCCCCCTTGGATGTTCATTAAAAGATAATTTGCCTCATTAAAACCATATTAGGAAAAACCACGTGGGAAAAAAAATCCTAGTGAAGGAAAAAGAGTACACATATTTAGTAATACGCATTGCTAGGTGCCTCATTAAAAACCTTATAAGGAAAACCCTGTGGGAAAAAGCCTTAGTAAGGAAAAAAGAGTGCATCGCGTATTTTACTCCCCCTTATGAAAACCTTGTTTCAAATATTTGAGTCTCCTCATTCTAATCTTGTATCTGCATAACCAATATGATCTGCACCACCTTTGTTAGCATTAGCAAGATACATAAATGCATAACAATTGCACAGAGATAGAGTATTTCAGGACCAAGGAGTTCATCATCCTCTTCTGGAGGTCGGAACGGATCCTTATTCACTTCAAGTGATCGAACACCCATTGATGTACTTAATGGGTGCGCTTTGTCCATGAAAAAGCGTTTAAAGACCCTTTCTGTATAGGCAAATTGATGGATAAAGATCTCGTCTTCTAAATATTCAATTTGCAGACCAAAGACAAATTTTTATTTTTTCAAGATCTTTCATCTCAAATTCTTTCTTAAGATATTCAATTGCCTTTTTGGAGCTCTTCTGGAGTTCCAACAAGATTTATGTCACCAACATAAACAGCAAGTGTAACAAATTCTGATGATATTTTCTTTATAAAAATACATGGACAAATAACATAATTTATGTAACTTTCTTTCAGCAAATATTCACTGAGACAATTATATCACATGCGCCCAGATTGATTTAAAATGTACAAAGATCTTTATAATTTGATCGAATACATTTATCAAGACTTTGAATTATATGCTTCAAGTATTTTAAATCCTTCTGGGATCTTCATATAGATTTAATCAAATGAGTCATTAGGTTATGACTTGCATTTAAATGGCATGACATCATGAGACGACTGGACTACAGGTCCGATCCTCATAATCTTTTATAATATTGTGCACTATATTGTATCAAATATATCGTCGATGATCATTTTGTATCGGTTCCTAAGCGACATAACTTGTTGAGATCTCATTACTTTCTTTATTTTCAGGTACCTGAACTTCTTCTGGAGTTTCATGAAATGTTATGTCGTGGGCTCTTCTAGAGCTCATTTCCTCCTTATTATGATCATTTTGATCATTTGCTCCTATCATTTTTCAAGTAATGTTACCTTTGGAACCGATCGATTTACTACGCTTCATGCGTGTAGTAAACTTTATCCTCGGGGACTTTAATTTCAATAGGAGTATTTGCAGCTGAAATATGATATTTAATTTTGGATCAGTAAATGCTTCTGGCATTTGACTTGAATTATCTTCCAAGTGAGGATCATATTAATGATAATTCGATTCATATAACTTATTTTCCAGCTGTTTATTCCATCACCCTAATGTTAGAAAACTAACATATATCCCAAATCTTCTTTGGGAAATCTATCTTTGTACTTTGTGGTAGAGAAATTAATCATATACCATGCATCAAAAGTTATTAGATAGTAAAAATATTTGGTTTCTGATCCTAAACCAATTGTCAGGGGAGGACTTGTCATATATTGTTGGTTTGATGCATACAAGTGCTGTTGTATGCAATTTAGAAAATCTTAGGCCAACACATGAAGCTTTGTTCTCATAAGCAATAGTTTAGCCATTAATAGGAGGTATTCAATGCTAAACCAGCTTGGATATAAACCAGCATTATCACGATGAATTGTCTTGATTTCATAATCTGAAAATCGTTCTCTTATTTGAGAAAAGCAATTTCAAATGCCAAACTGCAGGTTGACAATAATCACACATGTAACCATCTCATATATGCATCTATATGTGGTTTACACGATAGGTGAATGGACCCATATTCACCTTTTATATATTTCAGAATTCAGGGGTCGTAGTCCCAACTTTAGCTGGTATAATCAATTTATTATGAGAACAAGCAACATAAGAGAATTCTTGAAGAATCTTCTAGTTCTTCAATATATGCTTATCTGAATTCTTAAATAGCTCATTCAAAAATGGTAAATGAAAACTTCAAGTTTATCATGGCATGTGCTATCTCTTAGTAAACTTCTGGTTTACTATGGCATAAACTTTTGTATTAGTAAACTTCTGACTTACCGTGATACATGATATAATATAAATTGAAGAATAAGGCGGGTAATTTCTCACATACATAATATTTTACCCCCTATGTTTGTGGAAACATGAAGATTTTCAATCTTCCGGTCATTTGTAGTCTCAATATGATAGCCATTTGTATTAGTAAACTTCAGGTTTAATACAACATATGTTTTGACCATAATCATATAATATGAATGACATATTTGTATATAAGCTCTTCGAGAGCCTTCATTTATTATCCACAATCTAATATTTATCGGACACTATTGGTGTCATGTGTCTTCTAGGCAAATAAGTTAGCTCTTCAAGAGTTGTTGATACATTTTGTACTATCAAATATTGCTCAGACACTTCTGGTATCATAAGAGAAAATCACAATCAAATAAACAATGGAAAACAATTGTTTAAGCACAAGAAAATACCTCTTCATAGTATTTTCCTACTTCAGGAGGCAATTTCTATTGTGTTACTTCTTCAGGAGCAAATTTCAAATACGAAATATTAAGTATATATTCTCTCAATATATTACCCCTTTTGGAGGTGAATTGTAATATATTCACATCAAGAGTGCGTTCATATTTACCAGATTTATTAATATTGTCACATTCACTTCAGGGAATGGATTAATATTATCAAAAGTTCTCATCCTTCAGTAAAATCGAACATAATTATCTGAATGCGCATTAATCACATCAAATTGTGATGCCTCAACCTCTTTTAAAATATTTACTACTTCAAGAGCAAATCGAGGCGTGCATTTAATATAGAGAATATTTATGTAGCTTATCTTCAATTGTAACCATAGAAAGCCTAAATTATCACTTCTGGTGATCATAGGCATATACCACTTCTGGTGGTTAACAAAATATAATTACAATGAGATATACGAAATATAACCACTTCTGGTGGTTGTATATTTCTTGCAAACTCTGCTAGAGTTTAAGTTGATCTAATAATGTTATCCATATTCTTCAAAATGACATAAATAAGATATATTATAGTAAACATCATTATCAAATCATAATTTTTCTTTATGTACAATAATTACATAACCATACTATCTATTACAAACAACAAAAATTAAAATATTTACATTTCTACAGATTCACCACCGATCACATGACTTGTTTCTCCATCTGGGAGTGCAAGGTAATCAGCCACATCTAAATGCATGAAGTCTAAATTATCTTCAGAAATAAAATTTGCTTCAGCATTTTTCTCAGTCTTCTTTAGGGAGGCTTGATAAAGCTCAACCAGGTGCTTTGGCGTACGACAAGTACGTGACCAGTGCCCTTTTCCTCTACATCTATAGCATGCATTTTCTGCATTTGGTGCTTGCACCGCTTCATGCTTTTGTTCCTTCCTTATCCACTGCTGGTGGTGAGGAGGGTTCTTTGGTGCATTATTATTACCATGATTAAAATTTCTTCCCCGACCACGGCCATGACCACGACTGGGGCCACGACCTCCTCCACGCTTAGCTTGGTGGAAGTTCATCTCATTTACTTCAGGGAATGGACAAGAACCAGTAGGTCGGCTTTCATAATTTTTCATTAATAGCCCATTATGTTGCTCGGCTACAAGAACATGTGAGATAAGTTCAGAATACCTTTTGAATCCCATCTCTCGATATTGCTGCTGCAGGAGCATATTCGAGGCATGAAAAGTGGTGAAAGTTTTCTCCAACATATCATGATCAGTAATATTATCACCACATAATTTCAATTGGGAAATAATTCTGAATATAGTAGAATTATACTCACTGATAGATTTAAAATCTTGTAGCCTTAGATGAGTCCAATCATAACGTGCCTGTGGAAGAACGACCATCTTCAGGTGGTCATATCTATCTTTCAAATTATTCCACAGTATGACTGGATCTTTAACAGTAAGATATTTCATTTTCAGGCACTCATCAAGGTGATGGCGTAGGAATATCATTGCTTTGGCACGGTCTTGGTTTGATGCCTGATTTTTATCCTTGATGGCGTCTGCCAAACCCATCGCATCAAGATAAATTTCAGCATCAAGCACCCAAGACATGTAGCTTTTGCCCAATATATCCAGGGCTACAAATTCAAGTTTAGAAAGATTTGACATTATATAGAAAAAGAAAGTTCGTACATCAGATTATTTCAAAGTATTTGCTCGAGATGGCAGAGTCTCGTGCTGATAACGTGTTATAAAATAAAGACTGTAAAGTAAAGACAAGTATAGAGAGAAACTGATATATTATTCGAATTCAAACTGATGTACATAATGAACTGAAATCTCTTCTATTTATAGAAGAAAGGAAGTTGTTGTGTAAGCTGCTACTGCAAGCTGCTGTTGATAAGTTAGGATTTTAATGTGTTTTATACCCCTACTTGCCTACGCTTTGGTTATAAATTGCTACAAAATAGTCCCAAAATGCTCACAAGTTGTACTTGATTGCAGGTTTGATCGACAAAGCGACGAAAGTCAAATATCGGCTCAGAAAGGAGTGAAACCTGCTCAAGTGTCAAAGACCAAGGAAGTTGAGGAAAAGAGGCCCTAGTGCGGACCGCGCAACTGTGAACGCGGCCGCACTAGGAGGTTCAGAGAATGGCATATTCAAGGGGAAGGCTACGCGGCCGCGGTCATTTCCACGCGGTCCGCGATCAGGCTCCGCGGCCGCGCTAACTTCCACCGCGGCCGCGCTACATTTTTACGCGGTCTGCGGTCCTCAACTTCAGAGAAGCAGAAACCAAGAGTTCAATAGCCAGTGCGGCCGCGGTCATGTTTGCGCGGTCCGCGCTGACCCCGCAGGGGTATTTTTGTCCAGTTTTTCCAGCCCAGTATAAATAGGACCTTTTTCCATTTTTAGGTTAAGTTTTATTTTTCTGAAGCTGTTGAGCTCATGAGACCGAATAGTTTAACCATTTTTGGCACTTTTGCTCTTCAATATTGTATTTTCTTCCTAGCAATTAATTAATATGTTTACTTTTTCATCTATTTTTTTAATTTTTGCATCTAGCATGAGTAGCTAAACTCACTAGCTAGGGTTGTGGCTCAACCCTAGTGTGGCTAATTGATGGGCGTTGCCATCTAAGGTTAGATTGATATTGGGTGTTTGCTATTTGGGTTAATTTTAGGTTTTAATTAAGAATTGGTGGTTGCAAACACTGATTCTAGCTTGGTGGGTTTAACTCTTCTTGAGAAAGAGAGTCTACGACCCCAAAATTGACCCAACAAGGAATTGGGATGGACCCATGAGAAATGGTAGTCCCAATTAACGGGTTAAACCTCGAGAGAGTAATCACCCTACTTGAACCCTAGTTGCTTGGTCTAATTGGCCTACCCAATTGGTCTCGAAAGAGTCAATTGGGCAAAATCACTCTCTCTATCGAGAGGTGTGAGAGTGGGTACAATTGAGCGACGGTTATAGCATAAGCCCCAAATATGTCAATCTATCCTTAGTAGCATCTATCCGTTAGTTAACCACCTAGGTGATGCCACGACCCTAGTGCCTTTCTCTATATTAATTACAACTTAGCAATATTCCCGTAGCATAATTTAGTTTCAATCATTAGCTTTATAAAGGTAGATCTAGAAATCAAAACCAAATATGTTTGAAGAGACATTTGAAGCACACCCGCAATTCTAGACTAAACAGACATTACAACTCCACTACTAGCTCCCTGTGGAAATTCGATCCCGAACCACTATTCGGGTAAAGGCTGTTGCGACCGGCTCTTCCTACCTTAGTTTAGTGTTGAACCGGCAGCGATCAACTTTTTGGCACCGTTGCCGGGGAGTCATCCATTTGCACAAGGAATTGAACGATCATGGCCAAGCTATTGCCGAGCTTACAACAACTATGAATCAATTGGTGAAGGCGCAATCACAACAAGTACAAAACCCGCGCCAAGTCAATGCAATGGAGAGTGTCTCTATGTTGAAAAGGAGGCAAAGAGGGCAACAACAACCTCAAGGTAAAGGTGAGCAATTTGACAACAACAATGATGGTGGTGGTTATTCGAATGAGTGCTATGATGATCAAAGTGAGGAATGTCAATATGTCAATCACTACCAAGGAAATAGAGGAAATCAAGGGAATCAACAATGGCGTCCCCAAAGCAATTGGGGAAATCAACAAGGCGGTGGTAATTGGAATAACAATAACCAACAACAAGGCGGTAACAATTGGAACAACAACAATCAGAACAACAATTGGGGTAATCAAGGTAACAATCAAGGAAATTGGAACGGGAACAACAATAATTGGAGCAACAACAATAACAATCAAGGAGGGTGGAATAATGGTGGTAGGGGGAAAGGCTTTCAAAGGCCCCCCATGTTCCAACAACCGAACAATCCACCCCCCTTTCAATCCCAAGGGTCTAGTTCTTCCGGAAGTTATATGGGGCGGATACAGATGATGTTCGAGCAGATGATGAAAAAGAACCAAGACTCTAATGCACAATTGGCTTTGCATAACACATCTATCTGAAACCTAGAAGTACAAATAGGCCAAATTTCTCAAGCTTTGAATACCCGACCAAAGGGTGCGCTACCAAGTGACACGGTAGTGAACACGAAGGGGGGTAACAATCATGTAATGGCAGTCACAACTAGAAGTGGAAGATGAGGTGAAATGCCGGCCTCAAATGAAAATCGAGTGGTGAATGATGATGTTGAGCTCCAAGAAGATGTGGGTCCTTTGATTGTTGAAGATGTGATTGAGACAAATGTGAACAATGAGGTGAGGATAGATATTGATGAGGCCGAGGTGGAAACTCAAGAAGCCGTGAACCTGTCTAGGGAACACATAATCGACATACCGGAGCCGGTGGTGCCAAAAGCCAAAGCACCTTTGCCTAGACCACCTCCACCTTATCCTCAGCGGTTAGCAAAGCAAAAGAGTGACAATCAGTTCAAAAAATTCATAGATATGATGAAAAGCCTTACAATCAATGTACCTTTAGTAGAGGCACTTGAACAAATCCGGGCTATGCAAAGTTCATGAAGGATTTGGTCACAAAGAAGCGTTCCATGGATTGTGAAACAATAAAGATAACGCACCAAGTTAGTGCGATAGTGCATTCTATGGCCCCGAAACTTGAAGACCCTGGAGCTTTTACTATTGCTTGCACTATCGGGAGTGCGGAGTTTGCTAAGGCCCTTTGTGACTTGGGGGCTAGCATTAATTTGATGCCGTATTCAGTCTTCAAGACTTTGGGAATTGGGCAACCTAGGCCAACCTCGATGAGACTTCAAATGGCGGACCAGTCGATGAAGCGGCCTTTGGGTATAATTGACGACGTTCTTGTTCGGGTGGACAAATTCATATTGCCAGCCGACTTTGTCATATTGGATTGTGAAGTGGATTTTGAAGTGCCGATTATTCTTGGGAGACCTTTCCTAGCTACGGGGAAGGCTTTGGTTGATGTTGAGGCAGGTGAGTTGACATTCCGAGTGGGAGATGAGAAGGTGGTATTCCATGTTTGCAAATAAATGAGACAACCCAATAGCACGGAAGTGTGTTCACTTGTGGACATTGTCACATCTGTGATAGTGGATGACACAAGTTCCATGATAAATGTTGAAGATCCTCTTGAGGCCGTACATCTTGGCATGGATGTCGATGATGATGCTAGCAGAGTGGAGTGCGTGAATGCATTGCATGGTATAGGTTCATATTCATATGAGCCTAGGAAGTTATCTTTGGATCTTGAAAACCGCAAAACTCCACCAACTAAGCCATCCATTGA